TAAAATTAAGTCCCGGACGAGGGGAGCCTTGTGAACAACAGACCGGGCATTTAGCGACAACAGCCTGAGACCAGGGTCCTGGTTACTCATGCCATCTTGCCTTGGAGTAGGACTCATAGGGCCGGAAGGAGGGATCTCTGTAACGTAGTGAGCCCTCCTTTCCTGGTAATGGCTAGCCCTAAAGTCCCCGCCATATCTGCCCCTCCCTGTTACGACCGTAATGCTCCAGTCCACTCCCGTGTCCGCAATTTCCCCATCCACCCCAATGGCCTCCGCGTGCCTCGGCAGGTCCTCCGAATCAAACACACTCATTCATTCACCCAAACATTTCTTAGGATTCAGTCTTCAGCCCTAAGTGCCATTGTATTCAATGGTATTAACTTACACAAAGGAAAGATTAAAGTTCTGTCCTTTTTGGTCCTTTGGTTATAAATGAAGGACTATTGTTTGGTAGAAAACTGTTGTGTCTGCCTCTCCAAGAAAGTATGCTTTCAATATCCCAGGTTTCATTACTCACTAAAGTTAAGACTGAAAATAGTTAATAAAATATTCAGCTTATGTTTTTCCTTTCCAAACTAAGCAGTTAATGAAATTCAAAACTCTTAGCAGCTCTCAAGGCACACTGCTGGAAGAGAAAAGAGAAAGATCATCGTAGTCTTGCCTACTCACACACTTAGAGAATCTGTCTGACCCCTGAGCATTTATCATCATTCCTTCTTATGAAGGTCAGCCCAATGATATTTCTATGGCAGCAGGAGTTCTCTGCATAGTAATCAAATCAAATTTCCTTCTCCCCCCCCCACCCACCCCTATCACTTTCGCTTTCCAGAAATAATCCTCTGTTTGTCTGTGATAGCAGCAAGCATTTATTACAAAGACAGGTAATTGTACCTTTACTGAATTTCCCCAGCCAATAATCAGTGTTAAATTATCTTTCCAGCAAAGGCTACAGGGATACATATCAGGACGAAGGCTTATATCGTCTCGTGGCACATTGGTGATTCTTTGCTTAGCAATCATGTCGAATATCTTCACGCCCTGGAAGTTTAATACACAGTAAGAGAATTATGTGTGACATTTTACACAAAAAACATAGAAGTATTGCAGGCTGTATCAAGGTGGCAGTACTATCCCATTGGAGGCACAAAAAATATTTTGGTTAACAATTGGAAGAATTTGGCAGAAAACATAATGTGAATTCTACAAGCTCTTTAAAATATTTAACTAAAAAAGGGAAGAAGCAGTTATGTAATTTTGCTTTGCTGTCCCAGTTTACAATTACTGAAAAATTATGAGGGAGTGTGAGGCAGTACTAAGTTTCCCAGAAAACTGAGTGGGGGTACATTTTTTCCCCTGAACTTTGATGTGAGGATTTATTCTACAGATTAATGTTTTCCTACTAGCAAAAAGTGAGAATTACATTAAAACCATGGCAGTGGGTAAGAGAAATATTTAAGACTTCATATGACAGTAAATCAACAGTTCATAAAGCAATCTACAATCTATGGTTTTTGGCTGAAGAATCCTAAATAAGAGTTTATTCTATAATCCTATGCAAATTAAATTTCTAAACATTTCCTGAATGACAATTATAACAATGTGTCTTAACAAGTTACAGGCTTATCTCTTCTGCCTTCAGTTTTTAAAATATAAATAAGTAATATTTCTCTCATGCACATGCTCACACATGTGAAGCCACTTTAAGATGAATTACGGTAATGACAACAGAGAAGTACACTATCAACCCAGCAGAACTCACCATATTGTTGGCCCATGCAATCAGATTTCCTCTCCATTTCACGCTTCTTATAGGTCCCTCTCCTTCATGTAAAACAGAATGCTTCCATCTATTCATCCAATTCTTTTCAAATAACAATAACTGGGTAGAAGAGTAATTTTTAAGTTTTTAAATTAGATTAATATGTGTGTGTGTGTGTGTGTGTGTGTGTGTGTGTGTGTTGCATTTGTGCTGATAAATAAATAAAGGGAGAAATGCAACACAAATGTAACAAAGGCAACAGTAAAAATAAAAACATGACTTTCTGTCTGGATGGTTTCTTGTGATGAGCCGATAGANACCCGGATTGTTGTTGGGGGCAATATGCTGACTCTCTGTAAACCACTTAGAGAGGGCTGAAAGCCCTATGAAGCGGTATATAAGTCTACTGCTATTGCTATTGCTTTATTGACTCCCAGGGCAGAAGAGTTAAAGAAGCATCTTCACACTTGTGTATTGGTCAGAATCTGCATTCGGACAAAGGGGAGGGGTCATTATCAGCTTAATCCCATTTGCATGGACTAAAGGTTTTCAGATGCTGTTTTGCTTCTAATAGTTTCCATCCTGACTGATTAAAGGTTCCTTTTGAAATAATCCGTTTCAAGTGTCTTTACTTTCTCAAGTTAGGAGATGAGCCATTACAGCAGCTCTAGTCTAATCTTTCTTTTAACTCCACTTCCAGGCTCTGCCAGTCCTCTACATCTATGGAGACACTGCAATGGCTGTAACTTTGGACACAGGTTGTAAATCCTAGAGCTATATTAACAATAAGGATTTTGTAGATTTAAATCATTAGATTTAATCACTTACTTTACAGATAAGTACATTTTTAAAAATGAGGAGAAAAACTCTATAGTTTACTTATAATATAGCTGCATTGCAACATCAGAAACATAGTTTTTTTTTTTTAAAAAAAGTTATCCATGAAGCACATACTTCTTAAAAACAGTTGGTTAATTTATGTAGTTCATCTTTCCCTTGCCGTAGTTTAGAGTTACCATAATCACAATACAAAATACTCATTTAAATTCAATAGGAGCTACCTCCAAATGAAGGAAATGATTATTATATGAGTTGTTTCCTTTCTTCTTATTTCAACAAAATATTTTAGGACTTTATTTCCCATAAATTCCCATCCTGGCAGACAGCAATCTCAGTACTTACATTTCAACAGCAGTAGCAGCAGCTATAAAATCTCTTCCTTGGCAAGATACTTGATTCTTCTGCATGTTTTCAGCTGGTACATCTATTTAATGCTTTATTACAATATAGTCATACCTAAGTTGCACATCACATCAGATTTCATATGTATAGCATCTGATTACATCACCAGAATAACTTCAACCAAATAACATTCATGACAGCATAATCATGGTTATGTTTATTCTTCCAATTGGTATTTCTTAGACATTTGGACATCATTTCCATATAGTTTGTAATTTGGGCCTTTGAAAACAGTAATTTGCTAACAATATACCTGGAAACTGTTCTTTAGAAGCCAATTAAGGTAAAGTAACGTTCCATAGTGAGAATAAACTAGTCTTCCCTAATATGATATGGTCCAGATATCTGACAGAATAATTCTAAGGCTCCATGCTATTACAGATCATAGGGTTTGTGATCTACACATCTGAAGTCACCAGTTTACTTGATCTATTAGAATCATAATAGTCAGATAAATTTATCGGAATTAAAATGGTCAGTATAGCCACTTCTACCAGTTACTAAATAACACAGCAGAAGAATTATAAAATACATTGCCAAATGAGCCTGCACTTTGAGATGCTATATAGCAGTGGTAGCGAATCTTTTCGGCACCCAGTGCCCAAACTGCAACCCAAAACCCACTTATTTATTGCAAAGTGCCAACATGACAATTTAACCTGAATAATCAAGTTTTACTACCTAAAATAATGATAAACAAGGCAGAGTTCAGCTAATTGTGCTAAGAAAAACATGATAAATGCACTTTTATGCCCCTTTTTTCTGCTTTTGAAATAGTATGTTTAGCAACAATAAAAAAATAACTTGTGTAATATTGTTGTCCCCAAAACTGGGTTCTTGCTTAGTGTCAAAGCCGATAAGTCACCGGACACAAGGTGTGCTATAGAATTATACTTTTATTTTGGTACCAAGATATAAGGACCTTGGTTTGAAAAGCTAACCAAGAGCCAAGATTAGGCTCTTACAGCAGCCAAGATTAGGATCTTACAGCAGTTTTTATAGTCAAGGGGTGTCGCAATCAACTCTTTGCCCTTCCCCTAATAATGCATGCATAACAGATAATATTGATTGGTTATTTGGATTTCAGCCCCCCTAAATCCTTATGCTTGTTATGTTAAATAGCTAAACGTTACATCACCTGTTTTGCATCCAAGGTCTCGGGTATTTTGCAAATATGCCAGATATATGGGTTTTGGGGTTTTCTTATAAGTGAGCTATTCTTGTTCCTAATATTCTGGCTAGTGGTTTTAAGGTACTAACTTCTGTCTTGCTCTTAATGTGCAGCACCTCCCCCCTTTTCTATTGCACAGCAGAATAAAAGAACAAACAGTTTTATCTGAGGCAGCTCCCCTGCGACCCCCCCTCCTTCCACAGAGAAAAGTAAAAGCAGTTTAAAACTTTTGTCTGAGGCAACAACATCCTCACTCCCTCTTCAATGAGACATAGGAAGGAGTAAAGCTCTTAATTGCCAAGGCAAAGAAATGAAGACAACAGAAAATGTTTTATCAGAATTCATATTCCTCACTCTCATGGCCATTCCATCCACATCTGGATCCTATCTCCACATGTGACCCTTCCTCTGATCCACAGGACCTCCCACTCTGTTTCTCTTCCCCTCCCTCTCTCTTTCCCACCTTCCCTCCCTTCCTTTCTCTTCCACACTTCTCCCTTTCTCTTTCCCTCCCTCAACTCTTTCTTTTTGTTCCCCCCTTTCTCTTTCCCTCCCCCTCTCTTTCTCTGTAACCTTTTCTATGAACTGTTAAAAATTATGAGATAAAATTTCAGTGGTTCAAAGTCTGAATATCTTATGCTATAAGCTAAATACTCTGCTTTTGTTTTTAGAAATGCTTGCTACTTAGATCAAGTCTAAGAATTCATAATGCATAACAAATGCACTAGGACAAATCTGGACAACTATTAAAATCTAGCTTCAGGCAAGAGTTAATTAAAATAAGACATCTGTTTTAGTTTAACAAAGTGTTGAATTAACTAATGTTAATTATATGTAGCCTAGTCTTGAATATGTCTAAAAGATTCTTCTGTCAACTTAATTAGAAATCTTAAATCACACATACAGTGGGCCGAAACTTAAATTGAAAAATTGACAAGATTTTAAAAGTAACAGAAATCGCATTCTAGGACAGCTTTTAAAAAGACAATTAATTTCAAGAAGAAAGTTTTCAAACTACCTTTCTACTTGCAAGCACCACAATAATGTTTTCTATTTCTTTTCTTCTCCAGAAAAATGATTTACTATGTTGATCAATTTATATTCTGAGTAATTTATATTCTCAATTACAATATAAAGATTTAAGAGGAAAAAAAGTTGAAGTACTACTGTTCTTTAGCTGCTAGTATGAACATTTAATGTGCAAAACCAAATATAAAACATTGGCATTGGATGCACTCTAAGGACAAATATCCTGATTTATGGAAACTGATGATACTACAAGTCAAACGAACAGGTGCAAAAGAGCCAGTTTAGTCTAGTGGTTAAGCACCAGGCTAGACATGAGGAGACTGTGAGTTCAAGATCTGCTTTAGTGACATAAGCCAGCTAGGTGATTTTGAGCCATGCTCCCTCAGCCCAGCCCAGAGTGGTGGTGGTTGTGGGAATAGAGGCGGAAGAAGTATTAGGTATGTTCACTGCCTTGTTTACAAAAATAATAAAAAATTGAGTTATGCAGCATTTGAATATCAGATTACAAAGAGAGATGGAATTCTGAATGTTTAACTGAAAGAAAAATACAAATTTTCTAACATATTTATACCAATTTTATAGTTCATCTCTAGTAATGAATCTTGGTAGAAGTTTTTTGTAAGAGTAATTGCAGAGTTGAGCAACTGCATATATTTCTAAAATTAATAAATAAAATGTGACTCAAATTAAAGATCGAGATCTAAGGCAACTAGATCTAGTTTTAGCACCAAGTTTCAGATATATCAACAGTGGAAAATATATTTTTGTATTCCCAGTTGTCCAATACAGTAGAGATGCACAGAATATTATTTCAACATTTTAAAGGGAATTTATTTCAGACAGCAATTCCAAGCTAGAAGTTACTACAACTATAAAGTGTACACAATTTAAAGTAAATCTCCCAATACCTGAACAGGCATTGCTATGGTATTTACTCTTATTTCACTTAAATGGGACTTCTCAGTATTTACTGACTGACATTTTATAGCTTACAAAGCAATCTGCCTTTCTTTTCTAGTCCTCTTCATCTACCAATGCAATATCAAACAGCTGACTATCCTGTTTCTAAAAAATTGCAGACAGCATCCTAACAATTTAATAATTTGTCAAAGTGATCTAAACAGTTTTTATGAAGCACATATTATGGGTTCAGAGGTAAAGGTCACTTACTCACAAAGCAAAGAGAAATTGGATTTGCTGACACTAAAAATCAAGGCAATTAAAAAAAACAATATAGTACTTTACAAGATTAACAGCAAAAATACAAATCCTACAGCCATTCCTGAAATACCAACAACTATTCAAAATATTTATGCTTCACCTATATTCTGGGTTTAGTGATCTAATGTAGAAGCGATTCTTTAATTTCATACAGTATCATATTTCAAACACTCCTCTGCTTTTTGTCTAAGATCAATTGGCATGTTTGTGTGCACATATAAAAAAGGTTATATATAATGTGAATTTTTCATACATTTTCCAAATTCATCATGTAGTTCTGCAAGATCTCCATGTGAAGGTCCAGGGACAATACATTAGAGTGATGTACCATTTCCATGTTATTGGGAAGAAAACTGTGCAGACATCAAAGAGATCCTTAGGAGACAAGCTCAACTAAAAGAAACTTTATATTTACATTAGATCATTTGTCATTCCTTTCCCCCCCGCCCAGGAAATGCCAGAAACCCACCCTCCGCCAATAATTAGTAACAAATGAAACTAAGTTTATTGTAAAACAACTTTCAGGAAAAAAAAAACTTAAAACAGTAAGGTGATAAACCGAATCAACAAAATGGAAAAATACACATCTTCAATTAATATACTATCTATTTCTTAGTCATCAAAAAAGATGATCATATTCATTAAAAACTGACAGTGGAAAGCTATCTGCCATTCAACAAAATGTAGATATATGTTCTTTAATACTTATGTTCTTCTCTAAATTGTAAAAATATTATTTTAAGGTAAGATATATTTTTACCCAAAAGTTTAAGGTATTTTAAAAAACAGCAATCAATGGATTATTTCAAAATTGATGAGTTCTGTTTTTTTTTCCATTTTCAAAATTGTAGCTATTTAGATTTTTTTAATATACTTAAAATAGCTATGTACAAAATTCATTTAAGCTAGAAAGTTAAAAATGTGGCATCTCTTTAAGTGATAACTGAAGACCTTCTACTTCATCTTTTCACCTTCATTTAGTAAGCCTTTCACCATGTTATTTTTTAGGATTAGACCATCTTTTAAAGGTATGGCCTACAGCAGGGACGTGCAGTCAGGGGAGGCAGGGCCTCACCACTGTCATCATGAAAAGAAAAAAAAANTCCTACCTATATCTGTTATATCTTCAAAATTAAAAAACAAGCATTATTTCATATAGAGTAATATTAACTAAAATCAATCATCTGAATTTAAAACCAATACTACTTTCGTTTGACCCTATCAATTTTCTTTGTCCCATTACAGGGGTGTCAAGCTCAATTTTGTTGAGGGCCGCATCAGAATTGTAATTGACTTTCGGAGGTCGGGGTGGGCATTGCTGGGATGGGCGAGCAGCGCAACAGGGCCTGCACCTCCATCCAGTCTGCTGGAGCTCACTGCGCTGGGGGAGAAATGAGAGACCCCATTGTTCTGCAGGGCCTGCTGATGTTTGAGTGAGGAGGAGGAGAGCGGCAAGGCTGGCCAGGAGAGTAGGTCAGGCAGGACTGGCTGGCTCCCACCACCACCACCACCGCAAGCAGTTTGGGTGCCCCACCTGTGTCTGAGCTGAAGAAAACAGAAGTGTAGCAGTGGGATTGCCCTCAAAGATAGCTCTACTCCGACTTCACGGTACTGCATTGTTTTAAATGTAAAAATAATAAAAATATATTTTTAAAAAAAGATAGCTCTATTTCCAAGTGCCCCATTTGAATGCAGGTGGGGTCCATGGGACAATGGGATGTCATTCCTCTGCTGATGCAGCAATCTCAGGCGGGTTGGACATGGGTTGAAGACACTCAAACGAGGATTCCTGCACTCAAAACGGTAAGGCCGGCACACATGAGTGAGCAGCACATCTGGGCCATGGACAGCGCTGATTCCTGCACCCGACCTTAGATCAGACCCATGGGGGTGCCCTGGAATCAGCAAGGGACTGCCCAGTCATCTTGACCCCATCCCATGGGTATATGCATAGGAGGCGGCAAGTATGCAGGGGCTGGCGTCCTGGGTGAAAGGGAGGTGCTCAGAAGGCAGTCAGCCTGCAGGAAAAGACAGTCTTCAGGGAGGCCATGCCCCATGTGCACTCACTGCCTCCTATCCATGAGCCCAGGGCATGGGGCGGTGCATGCCAGCCCCTCATTGGCCCCCACAGAAGGCTGATTGCTTTCTGGCCCAAGATGGCCACCACCAGGTTGTAGATCAGCATCCAGATGGCCTGGGCCAGGATGGGCCAGTCCTTTGCTGATTCTAGGGTGTCTCTGCCGGTCAGATCTAACCACATTTCAGGCTGGATCTGGCCTGTGGGCTTTGAGTTTGATACCCCTGTCCTTGTATCTTCCAGCTTTGTAGAGTATCATTCTGACTAACTGTACTATGGCCAAGAAAAATGGTAACCAGCTGAACTGTTACTTCCACAACTGGATTCCATCCTACTACGGCCTAAGACCCTACACAACATGGCTCATATTATAACATATCTCTGATCTGATGATGAATATCTATAAAACAGTATAAATCACAAACAATCATTAGGTTAATTTAACAAATCAGAGAGTAGTTTGTTAGTTATTCCTATCTTATCAGAATAGGTGCAACTATTTTTACACAACAGTACTATATTGTTGAAAATAAAGTAAAATATTTAAATCAATTAAAGAATGTAATAACATAAATAATAAATTAAATTAAAATAAATTATTTACTTTAATTAGGCAATCAAATGTTTCAAGGAATTCTTCTCCTGTGTACAATCCAAATACCTGCACCTGAAATAAATAATATGCTTTTAGTATTGTATTGATTTATCTGTTATTTAATTGAAAAGGTCAAAAGAATTATCAAATATATTCAATTATACTTTAAAAAAAACAACTGGCAGCAGTATTTTAACCATTTAAAGTTTTTTTATTTCTTATTTCTTATTATAAATATTAAACAATAGTACCTTTAAAGCTGTAAACTGCATGAACCAGATAATGTGAGGAATCTCCTCTTTTGACGAAGCACACTTTTGGTGCTTCTGATCAAGTAAAATGACTGCATCACTATTTTTACTATCTTTACTCTCTTTCCTCATAGCCATACCAAAACCCTTTTATTGCTTCAGGTGTAAGAGTTAGCCAGCTTTTAATTGCTGATGTTGTGTTATAGAATAGAATAGAATATTTTATTGGCCAAGCATGATTAAACACACAAGGAATTTGTCTCTGATGCATAAGCTCTCAATGTACATGCAAAAAATCAAAGTAATAATAATCATAGTAACAAAAGATAATAATCATAATAATGATACCAACAAAGAAATAGTAGAACAGATGAGAAGGATAAAATAAATATAGCTGTACTACATGGATAATATACTCAGATTAAGACAACTGTGGAAATTCAGCAGTGTGAAGGAATGAGGGGGGAAAACGGTCTCTTGTCTAGTTGTTTTAGCATGCAATGTCCTGTAGCAGCATTTTAAGGGGAGAAGTTGAAACAAGTTTATTTATAGGAAGTGCAGGGTCTGTAGAAATTTTCTCAGCCCTCTTTCTGACCCAAGCAGTATACAGTCCTCAATAGAAGGCAGGCTGTTTGAAATGTTTTTTTCTTCAGACTTAACTATTTGCTGAAGTCTTTATTATGTCCTGTTTGGTTGCTGTACAAAAACAGATAGTTATAGAAGTACAGACAATAGACTAAATAATTCTTCTGTAGAATACCAGGGCATACCTGTCGGAACCCACCACTGGTTGGAACTGATGAGGACAAAATAATGTTTTGCTGTCTGATAATTTTCCAGATCTCTTAATGTGTGGTACACTTTTTTTTTCCAGCTTAAAGTCAAATATTCAGAGGTATTACAATTAATGTATGGAAATTCTCTCTTTTAAATGATGAATACTAAGTGAAAATTAGCTTGATTACTCTGCAGCTCATACAATGTAAAGTTTTTGCAATGGTCTACGGCTACACATGTAATAGAAAACTGAAACTTAATACTATTAAAATATGTTTAACTAAGCACAATAAGCTTGTTGTTTAATTTGGTATGAACCTGCCAAAGAATTCAATAATAAACAAGCTTGGACCACTTCAATCAGTCAGACTTTGAGGAGTGGTATCAAATGCACACAATAGACAAGCAATATTATTTTCTGTAAAAGCATCTGAATAGATTATACCAGAGTTTTATCATCCTGAATTACTTACTATTAGTCAAGGTTGCTGCACACTTAAAAATAAACAAATAAAGACATTCTAATAAGTGAAGAAATCAATCCTCAAAATCACTAAAATGTTAAGCTTCCTTTGTTCCCGAAAAATATGGGTAATTGTTGGCTGTGCAAAAAAATGATGTATGTTCCCAATTGAGATGGGGGTGCCACATTTTAAAAAAGAAACAGGGTGTGTGCATGCATTATTGATTTCACATTTCTTTAATGCTGTAATAGTTCACTGACTATAAAGCCTGATAGATGGTGACTGCTTATCAAAATATTCCAGAAGTAGCAAACATAAAAGTTTTAAAATATATATGAATGAAAAACTACCAGTCCATAGAAATTTTGCCCACAGGAATCCAATTTTCTGGATTTATACCAAAGAAGCATTAAGATACATTCTTGCAGGAACATCAGAGTAGTCAGTGAACTATAACTGGCACCGCAGCAATAATTGCAGTGACATGTGCCTCTACCATAGCTGTTAATCAGCTTAATACCAATAACAGTATTGACATTTTTGTAATTACTTTTCCAAAAGTAGATTTGAACCAAATATATTTGACTTTAAAGATGAGTTTTCTGAAGTGTGTTTGATAGTAAGGCAGATGCGCCAAGGTAATGTTATTATAGAATTTCACTGTACACAGATCTTCCAGTGGTCTGGAAAAATAACACTGAAGGACCTTTACAGATAAAGAGAAAGAAGGGGGGAGGGCTTGCTCTTGATGTACCTTGCCATCTTCAGAACACACACCCATGTGCTCACCACTTTCATCAAGGCTAATCTGATTGATCTTCACTGGACTCTGTTGAAAGTTAACAATCAGAAAAGAAAAATAATTAAAAAGAAGTATCATCTAGAATAAGCAAATTGTTTCAGCTTTCTATTTAAGATAAAACTTACCTGCTATGTCTTCAACTCATCAAGTTCAGTAGTGTCCATTAATTATATACAATAATTTATTAGAATTGTAGAAAAGATAGCACATAAATGTATGTATGTATGTATGTATGTATGTAATGTAATGTAATGTAATGTAATGTAATGTANTCTGCTTAGTGCTTAACTGCAGGAGGAGGCAAGAGAACCACGTGCCTCCTTTACTCTATCTTTATGATCACTTGAGCGTTGCCAGCACAATCTTGCGGTCTGCTATTGAAAAAAGCACAACTGTGCTGGCAATGCCTCTTTCTTGTGGAGACGGAAGCGTGCAATCCTGTTCCATGCTTAGAACTAGATCACCTTCGGGGAGAAGGTAAACGATTGCAGACTGCAGCCTTAAGCCCTATCACCTGGTATAAATGGCTTCAAGCAGCCTCCAATAGAGAAGCTGCCTTCGCTGGAAGCGGTGGCTGGATTGGGGGCGTGACTGATGCCTCCTTCCAGCTGACCGCCCTGAGGTGGGGCCCTTTGCGGAAGCGGTAGCCTTTGCAGCAGCTACAAGGTGAGGATCGCGCAGGAGACAGTTGATTTTGGGTGCGGAGCCTAAACAAACTGGAGCCATCGTGCATGTCTACAACCTGCACCCCTTCGGGTCGCAGCAAGTCGTCCCTCTGAAGCAGGAACAGGTGCTATTCTGCTGCGGGCAGGACATACTCCTGGTGGCCTGTGGCTCTGGCGCCTGCAAGGTGGAAATGTTTGCCCTGCGGGGCAGGCAAAAGCCGAAAGAAAGCGCCCCACTGCTTCTGTCTGACATAGAGGCATCCCACGTCCCGCAGCTGGGTCGGATATAGCTGCAGGGCGCGGGGAGCCTCTATTTCAGACATAGCTGCGGGGTGGGCAAAAGCCGCATTCTTTCTTTTTGCCTCACCAGCCATAAGCTTCACCGCACGTCACTGGCCTACAGTAGCACTATATGTCTTTTTCTTTATGCCACAAAATTCCAACAGCCTTTTTTGGGCTAGTAATGGCCTGTTATTTACAAAATATTATTATTACCATTTTCTGCTAAGTGTTCCATTCAATTTTTGCTATACTTAATTATGGTATGAAAAGAGCAGGAATGATTCAGTTAGTCATCCCTTAGCCATTGGTCAAAAGAGAATATTTCTGTTGTATGATACCAAGATCTCAATAAAAATAAAAGAACGCTGTAGTAGAATTGTAGTCAAGGGCAAAATACCATACTCCAAATTTTATGAATGCCTTTGTTACTTCATCTCAGACTTCTACCATGATAGTTGAGAATTATGATAGTTGAAGTACAACTTGATAGAATGTTAACAGGTTAAGGAAAATTATCTTCATATATACCAACAATTCCTATTTGAAATTCTATTTGATAATTGTGGCCAATGTGATCTTAGCACAGCTTTGACCTGTACATCAGTTCTGCACCTGCATGGGCTGGGGGGACTCTGTTCACAGCCACTCACACCTAACTTATATCCTGACCGTACTACTGCTGTATACTGTATGTGCCCTTGAAGACCATTCAAAAGGTTCAGTGCAGTGGTCCAGATTGTTATGAATATTTCTCATTATGGTCTTGCAACATCTGTGCTTTACAAGTTGTACGGATCAATATGCACTGCACTGCAATATGCTTCTAGGTGTATTTCAAGGTATTGGTAACTTGTAATGCCTAAATGGCATAGGAGTGGCTTAATTGCAAGACTGATTATTCTCAAGGGTATCTACCCATCTCAAACACTCTGATGGGGAAGGCACATTCTGGGTCCCTTTAATGAAGTCATCTTGTGGGACCAAGAAGGCAAATGGTCCCTGTCTTCTGAAACAATCTTCTTGCTGACATATGGTTGGCTCCAACCTAAAAAGCCTTCAGGAAGATAATAAAGACCTTGAGGCCTTGAGATTAGGACGAGAACTCAAATGATAAATATTTTGGTTCTGATTACACATTTATTGTGTTTTATATTATTTTGTATTTATTGATTACAGTTTTTTCTTTTTTCTTGTAGTTTTGTACACCATCTAAAGAGCATGTGGTCTCAATTGAACAAGTGTATAGATGCTTAGTAGCAGGGGTGAAATTCAGCAGGTTCTGGCAGGTTCTGGAGAACCAGTAGTGGAAATTTTGAATAGTTTGGAGAACCAAATAATACCCCTCTGGCTGGCCCTAGGGTGGGAAGGAAATGGGGATTTTGCAGTATCCTCCGTCTGCCACGCCCACCAAGCCACGCCCACAGAACCGGTAGTAAAAAAAATTGAATTTCACCACTGCTTAGTAGCAATGATTTGGTACAATTTCTAGGTTTCTTTTAAAGGCATCCTTGTGTAAACTGCATTGCAATAATCTATTTTGGTGGTGATCAGAATAAAGATTAATGATACCAGATCTATCCTATGTAAAATGGATATTATTAAATCATGAGTAGCTGAAATAAGATATCCATCACTTATGCTCATTTGAGCATTCACAGACTGGACAGAATACAGAAGTACCTCAAGATGTCAATCTGCTTGTTCAGGATAAGGTTCCCTCCCTCCCAGAATAGGAAAATAACCCTTCAAAAGACAAGTCATCAGCAAAAACAATACGCTTAATCTTGTCTTGATTCAGTTTTAGTTTGCTATGCCTTATCCAAACAATAATCCAGTTCAAAGAGTAATTTTGTATTCATACAAATTTCCTGGCTAAAAAACTTTATTCTTTATTAATAATAGATTATTCCTTTTGTGCAATTATCATAATAAATAAATCAGAATATTTTTTGTTAGAAAGGCTACTTCTATATCCATCATTAATTAATTTACTTTTGTAATTTAAGTATCTCTAATAATTTGTACATTGTAATTTATTTTTTAAATTATCCCAATCATAATATTTGCATCTTTTATATATACACCTCAATGTTTGTGTAAAATGAAAGGCAAAGAGGTAGAATTATTAAAATACGACCAGGGAATTGGAGTTGGAAAATATAAATGAGAAACACACATAAGAGAATACATATAATCTATACTGGAAAAAGCCTTGAGGTGAATCAATAAGAATCATAGCCTAACAAAGTCATACAAGCAAGAAACACTACATGTAATTCAGAATGCAAATTTGTTTGTATGTTCTATTCATCATCACTTTTTTATATTCAAGAATGTGCCACCAGGTTGACAGTTACATGCTCATTTGGATATTTACTAAGGATTGCACGGTCACACAGCAAGACCTTCTTGATTCCACATAGCAAATAGTTTCATTAAGCTGCAAATCATTTGTCTTCAGATCAAAGCAAAACACAAATGATAATATTTCCAGGCTACAATTTTTAGTACTGAGCCTGAGGCCTGCTTGCTTTAATATGTATTCAAAGTCCTGCATGCACAGCTTTGAGCAGCCACTTCAGTTGAATGACTAGTAGATACCTGAATCCTTTTGTGTGCAAGAGCTATCTCTTTCACTGTAATAACTGAACAAATCCAAACAAAAAAGATCAGTATAGATACATGTACACAAGATATAGAAATAAATGCACCTTGTCTACTGTATATTCTATAGTGATGTATATTTCAGAAGTTGAAACATACCCATTCTGCAACAAAATCAAAGAATCTTATATCATTTAAATAGAAGTCTATTTATTATTGCATGAACTCTTGTAGATCATAAATACTTGCTTCTTACAACTAAACTCCATGGTTTATATTTCACAAATGTTTATTGCCAGCCATCCTCAATCTGGGTTTATATCAGATGTATAGACTAGTCAATATGCCTATAATTAAGAATTCTAAATTCTAAATGTTAAATTGAACTGATAAGCAGAATATTCAGACTGAAAAAATGTGGCCTAATTGATATTTGCATTCTTTACTACAGGACCATATGTGGCATTAACTAATTTTAGTTATTTTTTTAAAGTATAATAAGATATTTGTGATAGTAATAGATATACACCACATATGGTCCTGTAGCAAATAGGTATGGACACGAGAATTAACTAGAATGATAAGAGACAAAACAAACCAGATTGTTTACTCTCTATAAATAACCTATACAATTTGCATAATGGGATTTTAGCACAAATGACATCATATCTTCTATTGAACCCCTATACTGTATCAAGGAAAGAAAATATTAAGCTTGATTTGTCTTTATCCCACATGGGGTACACTTCTAAGTATATCAGCCAAAAGACAAATCACATTCAGTTCTATAGTAATAAATATGAGTTGACTATATGCTTGTTACAGCTTACCTACTCATCTTTTATCAACTTTTGAAAACTCAAAACTATCTTCGATTGCATAATACTAATTTAGTTTAAAAATAATTATTTTTCAAAATATGAAGTAGTTCAACAAAAAAATACAATAGATTTATCCCAGTTTTACATTCACTGAATGTGTGTGTGTGTGTATGTATGTATGTATGTATGTATGTATGTATGTATGTATGTATGTATGTGTATGTATGTATGTATATGTATGTGTATGAGAGAGTATGTATGTATATATGTATGTATGTATGTGTATGTGTGTGAGTATGTATGTATGTGTGTGTATGTATGTGTGTATGTGTGTATGTATGTATGTATGTATGTATGTATGTATGTATGTATGTATGTATTTAAAGTCCCTTTAAATATATCAGCTCTCTCCTTATCAGCTGAGCCAGGGAGAAAGGTATATATTTAAAGTCACAACTCCTGGTATGCCCAAATATGGGAGGAAGTTCACTGCTTCCATTCTCTGTCCATCGGCTCGTCCATACCCTTACTGGGATTGGAATCTGTGCTGTATTGCATTTTTACTGTTGCCTAATGTAACAAAGGCAACAGTAAAAATATTGGGTTTCTGTCTGGGTGGTCTCTTGTGACGAGCCGATGGATAGAGAATGGATGC